ATCAGGAATCCATCTGGATCCGTAAGCCTCCACCTGATTAGATAGTGATCTGTCTATGACAACGGAATAACAGAGAGCTCCTCCATTCCCGGATCATAATTGTCCCCATCCTCCATACAAAAATAAGTCTAGAGTGTTTCCAGCAACATATATGGGGCCAGATACCAATTGGGCCAGACCCATGGTTGTCATGGCAGGCATGAAGTTCTGACCCACTTCTGATGGCTGCCTCGGCATGGCAGAGACCTAACCAATAGAGAATGTGTGACAGTTACAGTAATTCCTCTTCTTTGTGAGGCTTGGGGTGCAGGACCCTGCAAAAGTAAAAAACTGAACCACAAGGTCGTACATGCTAATATAATTTGCCCATGTTGCTATGTCATAACTGCAGTGTGCTTCCACTGGGAAAATTCCATGAAGTAGCAAATTCAACAAAAGAAGAAAAAAAAAATCTCAGGCATCAGTTGCTTCTAGATAACTATTCCCTGCCTCTATCTACATAACCTATTCTGCAGTCTTCTGGCATTGTAACATAACAAAATATGCCATGTAGCCTTCACAGTGTCATCTTGTTCCATTGGAAGAACCTCCCCAGCATCAGCTAACAATCTGTCCTGTCGCCAGCGCCAGTCTGGATCATCTGAAGTTCCTAAACATTCTTCAAGGGTAACCCCACGTAACTAAAAAGTAACTAAAACATGTGTCACCATGGCCAGAGCTAATGACTCCACAATCTTTGATGGTTCAAATGTACTCCTAGCCACAATGGAAACATGAACATCCAGGCTGGAAATTGAATTGAGGAGCACATCCAAATTGCAAATGTATGATCCAGCACAGACTGAATCCCTATGCCCTGATCTTCCTTTCTGCTGACCAGGAGCACTTTGTTTTGTGTGCATTAAGTTTAGAYTCATTTGCCCTACAACATATCACTGATTACTGGTTTTGGAGCAAAAACGTTTCCTTCTAAACAGTTGGGGGGGGGGGGTCATTGTAGTCCTGATGGCACTGAACCTCCCCTAGCAGTTTCATGTAGCATGGAGATAGAATCAAGCTGTAAGGAACCCACAGACAAATGGCCAAGGAATCGAGTAGGAGTCCTCCAGCACTACCTTTTATATTTACTCCCTTAGGAAGGTATGAAGCCACTAAAACAATCTCCCCAGGTCCCATCCAAGCAAGGCAACCCAGAAGGACATTATTGTCAATAATATTGATAATTGCTGAGAATCCAGCAGAATCAACAGAAACATCTGTTTAGCACAGTGGTTCTCAACCTGTGGGTCCCCAGGTGTTTTGGCCTACAACTCCCAGAAGTCCCAGCCAGTTTACCAGCTGCGTCTGGGAGTTGGAGGCCAAAACATCTGGGGACCCATAGGTTGAGAACCACTGGTCTAGCACTTGATGTAGGTCTTCCATTAAGGTGACCAAAGGTATTTTTGTTCTGTAACCATGTTTGAAAACAGGGGGAAATGGATCTTGATAATTTGTCTCATCCAAAGCCATCAGGCGTCCTACTGTGGTAGACTGTTTTAATAAGTTCCTGCAGAGGTTCTATTTCCCAGCAAATCTGAAACTCATCAGCTAGTTATCTTTCCATGACGGTGGGACTATTAACAATTCTTTCATTCCCAGATAACATTTCACCCCACCCAGGGCTATAGCCAGGGAGGGGTAGGGGTAAAATCCCCCTCCCAAATTTTTCAGGTTAAAAAAAAACCCCAGTTTACTCATGACTTTTAACGGGTTAACCAAATTCCTATGCTAAGTCTACGAGAAGCAGTAATTACATTGATTTAAGTAAGTCTATATAAAATATAGAAATAACCATACTATTTAAATTATTTTGTGTTATGGAACTACTCTTCATGATTTGCTAAAACAAATTCTATCCCCCCCCCCTCATTTTTTGTGGCTATGGCCCTGATCCACACCCATATTACAAAAGACAAAGTCCAGAGTATACTCAGTTGGGTTGTTATAGGTTTTTCAGGTTGTATGGCCATGTTCTAGAAGCATTCTCTCCTGATGTTTCACCTGCATCTGTGGCAAGCATCCTCAGAGGTATGCTCAGTCGCATGAGTAGAGCCAGATACTGCTTGGGTCAGGCCCATGGTTGTCATGGCAGGGATGAAGCCTTGAGCTGCTCCTGAAAGGCCAGTCTCATTATGGATGTTGAAATCACAGTTCGAGAAAGGGAAACTCCCAACAGCAACCCCGAGACCACCCTGCTAGCTCAAGAAGGGAGTTCAGCAGCAGGGTGAATGGAATATCAACAGAATACCTAATATGTCCTGGCTGCTCAGCTTCAAATAAACACACTAAAATGCGCCAAAAAGGATGCAGTTTCAATAAACTACTGCAACTCCAACTCCCAGAAGAACTCCCTCCAGGTTGCCTGTTGCTGAACAGAGAGCCCTGGAGGACAAACCTGAGAGAAGTTATTCTACACAGCCTCATCCAGTCAGGTCTCTGTGATAACATGCCAGGCTGACATAGTCATCGAAGATGAAGTCTTGACTAGTAGCAGTCTTCCCATCCACCCACCTGGCATTTATCAGCAGCATTTTCAACCCTGACTATAGTTTGGGGAAAAAAATCAAGGAATTCCTGTTTGCACTGCACATATCTTAATTGTAGTGGAGGGAAAATATGAAAAAACAATACAATATTTCAAATGAAGAACAATTTTAACCAATTCAAACCTATTAGTATTTCTTTTTTCAAAAGACGGAACTCAAAAACACGACTTTAGTTTTATTGGGAGCCGTTAAAAAGTAGATTAAAAAGCTACTGTTACAAGTCTCAAGGAAGTAAGTAGGATTGCAGTTCACTGTTTAAGTAAATATTACCAGCAACAATATTTCTGGCCTTGCAGGAATGGAACATAGTCAAAGGGGGAAATTTAAAGCTAGTTTTTTTAAAAAAACAAACAAACAGTAAGGCAATTTTGTGATCATAAAAAGATTCACAGTACAGTAGAGTCTTGCTTATCCAATATAAATGAGCTGGCAGAATGTTGGATAAGCAAAAATGTTGGATAATGAGGAGGGTTTAAGGAAAAGCCTATTAAATGTCAAATTATGTTATGATTACGTTGTGGTTTTACAAATTAAATTTAATACAGTATTAATTACTGTATTTACGAATTTTAGCACCAAAACAGACAAGGGTCCTTTCTTTCTCTCACCTTGGACTGCGCTGGATAATACAGAACGTTGGATAAGTGAAGGTTGGATAAGTGAGACTCTACTGTAGTTTAGTATGTGACATGACATATCAGCTTCTCCTTTTGATGATCTTATTAATGGGAAACCTCCAAGAGATCTTGTTATTAATACTCTGCTCATTCTTGGAAACTTGTTGTCCCTTTGAGTTTGTTGACATGTAATATGGCCTTTCTACAATTTTGCCATGCACTGGTTTTTATTAATACCCTATAGAGAAGAAAGAAGGAAAAGATAAATTCCATTTTGCATAGAAGCAGCATTATACAGCTTCTGTATTTCTTATACACTAATACTTAAAAAAAGAGGCACTATCTGAAGCAAGCCAATAAACATTTTAAGCTTCTGGTCATAACCTATATTAAATGCTATTAAATATTATGAAAAACTACAAATAGAAGTTAGATTAAATCACGCCATAATGCATAACATTTATCTGCCTTTATCCTAATATTTATCAAAGCAAAATAAAACCTTAGCTGTAATCAGGAAACTTACAAGCTATGAAATCATAACAATGGACAAAAGACAAAGGAAAGAACTATAGTAAAAAAAGCCCAACAACTTTAATTGCTTTGTAATTTTAGAAATAGTGCTGATGAGTTTCAAGAATAAATGAGAGAGGACTTTGCAATATTAGTTAACATTCTCATTTAGAAATGAAATGTTTCAGAATATCACAATGCCTGCAGAGAAAATGAATTGAAAATAATCCATAGATGGTATGGACCAAAATAATTGAATTTTTTTTCCTAGAATCAAATATAATATGCTGCTACTGTAGTAATGTGGTAGCAGCAAAGTACTGCCAGTGAAACATCTGACACATAACAGAATCTATTGCTTTATGATATACCCTTGGAACTGTATGTTTTCTTAGTGAGTTTACTAAATCCATATGTACTATTAGAACACCGTAGTTATAGCAACAAAAATTCAATAAATTAAAATTTTAAAAATCCATAATTCTAGGGTGGAAAAGAATTGACCACTGTGGATTTATGTTTCTATAGCTGTTTTGCATGCAATATTCATGTATAAACTGATATTGTAATATTTGAATGGGTGAGGGAAAATCTTGATTAAGGTATTTAAAGAAGCATTCTTCAGTCTTAGCATTCTAGAAAGCCAAATGCCAAACAATTTTGTTGTATGCATTTTTGAGATGTGTTATGGATGGGAATAGGAATGATCCATAGCTCAAACCATTACACCACACTGGCTCGCTAAAGTATTTCCATACCAGGATAAAAATATTCCATTTTTCTATGCATTTACAATTGCGTTTTATTTGCTTGTTTGATAGGAAGTCTTTTAGTAGAGTTGTTTGATGTATGTATTTTGCAGAGTGTGGTTTTGCATAATATGTAAAAATATTTAATGTGACATCAAAAACCAAATGATGCCAGCTATCAAATTACTTTTCAAGGGTGAGAAGAAACTGAGTTATTAGATAGGATAGCATCGAGCATCTATTTTTACAGTTTAATTCAGACAGTGTTGTTACAATTATGACACCCAAACTGCTACCTGACGTGCTTCCCCCCCCCCCCCCCCCCCCAAGATTTGGGATAGCATAGAATACCTGCCCTAGAAAGCAGGATAGATGCTTTTAACAATATGATATTAAGAAAAATGCATTTAAAGAGATGATTGTACCAGTAATACAATGCACATACATTGATAATTGAAAGCAGATAGAGCTGATGCAAAACAAATAGATCCTTAGTACTATTTATATTAATAATCTGTTCATTTTACTCTTTCCAGGGATATTATGATAACCTATTTTGAACCTTCCATCTCCTTTGAGGGACTGTGTAATGAAGTTCGAGATATGTGCGCCTTTGATAACGAGCAGCTCTTCACCATGAAATGGATAGATGAAGAAGGCAAGTTAATACAAGATGAAACCATTACATCAATTACTGGCGCCCTATACCCATGCACCTCCTTTCAGAGTAGAAATGAGTATTTTCCTTTCTGTTGTCCATATTTGCCAGTTTTTAAATGAATAATGGACCTGATACATTTGTTAGAACTGCTTTATAGTCAGCCATGTCCTTTTCTAGAAAACTGAAACTATAAACATGAAAAAGCTTGTGATATTTTGGTTGAAAGTTAGAACCGTTATAGTTTTTTTCTTTAAAAGGAATTCAGCAAGTTTTTTTTTTAAAAAAATTGGGATAAATAAACCTCAGAAGATACCTTTCCTAAGCCTCATGGAAATGCTGATTTTGTTGTTTCTATGGTTATTTTTTTATAGTGAATTATATTGTATTTTGAACAAACAAAATGCCTTATGAAGTCATAGGTCATCTCTCCTTGTAACATGGAAATTTTGTAACTTTTTATCTCTAGAGTAGGAATGAGAAGCCTGTGGCCTTCCAACTATTGTTGGATTCAAATTCCCACCAATGTAACCGGTTGTCTGGGATTATGGAAGTCAGGGTCCAACAATATCAGAGAGCAAAAGTTTCACATCAGTGCTGTAGAGAAAAAGTTGTTAGCTGGCCAGTAAGTCACATAAGGTAATTAACCCATACTGTTTCAGTATGTACCACAGTTACGCTTGAGCCAGCAAAAGTTATATAAGAATGAAATGGTGAACATAGATACAATTAAAGTTATTGGACTGGAAAGCAGTACGACAAGTTTCTCCTAGCGTGTCACTATAAATGACTCACAATGCAAACTTCCTGGAATTTAATCTCCTTTCACAGTTCTTGGTTTGGTAGGCAAATTATGTGACTTGAAAGTTCAGGGTGATGTTTTGCCTTCCTGAAGCAGGTATTCAGGGATGTGACCGAGACTCTACCAAGACTCATTGAATCAGCTGATTACAATTCTTTCTTGCTGATTCATGGGAACAAATGATGCAGTCATGGAAATGTTCATTGGATCTCCAAAGAGTATAAATGATAATGAGAGAATGTATAAAGACTACAAAGGTTAGTGGGTGAATAAATGATCTGTCCTATCTGTCAAAGGCAAGGCATTCATAGGGAAAGGATAATGTATGTAAAATTTGTGTAGCTGCTTATAAGTGGTCCTCAATGAAGGTTTGGTTTGATAGACCATGATGCAAATATGATGTACTCTTTGTAGATTAAGGATTGCATGTAATGGAATTGGAAAGAATATTTTAGCAGTAGTCTGATCATTATTTCCTTGGGTTGGAATGGTAAAACCCCAAGTTAACTACTGAATCCGACATGTGACACAAGAACACAAAGAAGCAAGAGTAAACATGGAGCCCAGTAACTTACAGGAAATTTTGTTGGACAACTCAAAAGATGAAACACCAAATACAACAGGAATACAGCTTGAGGGGCAACCATTGGCCCACAGAAGGCCTCAGTTAACCCCACTCTACTCTGTCACATCCTCTGCCGTGAAGTGATTCCAATCTGTGATTCGTCTACCATTTAGGAGAATCAAAGGTATTCAGGGAATCCTGTTACCTTTTTTTTTACCAACTATAGATCTCAATTACTCCCACACACCCTGTGTCATTTCTTCCCATCTGGGAAGGCCAGAGGCATGCAGGTGCATCACCACAATTATCAGAGATGATCTTAGATATACTTTGTGTGCTCTAAAATCTCCCTAAAGGGAGGAGTGGTGTGAATAAAACCATCCCAAATGAGGCACTTATAAATCTCCAACTTAAAGAGGAGAAAAATGGGAAACTACAGACCAGTTAGGTCACTATGACATAAAGATTGAATGAAATTATAGACCAAGTTATTAAGCAGTCGCTCTGTCAGCATCTGGAAAATAATTCATTACTTCCTCAGAGTGAACATAGATTTTTCAGGAAGAAATTAGACTAGCTACCCACATCTCTTTGGTAGAGTTACTGGTTTGATTCAGAATGAAAATGAATCACCTCTGATTTGGGCAGAAAAAAATTGACCAGGTTTCCCATGATGTTCTTCTTGACAAGATGGCAAAATGTGAAAATGTGCATGAACACTTCTTTAAGCAAATGTGTAGCAGGTTCAGCAATTGTACAGTGGGCTGTTTGGTAACTCGCTGTTCCTCTGTGTGAAGCCTTGCATGCAGTGCCTCAAAGCTATGTCTTAAGTCTTCCGTTCCTCAACATTTTTATAAATGTACTGGATCAGAGTGTAGAAATATTCACATCTGTGAAAGGAGAAGTAACTTACACTGTAGAACATGGGATCAAAGTCCCAAAGGAACTTGACATCATATTTATCAGTTTCGTGGCATCTTAAAGATTAAGTTTTATTTGGCATAATGCCGGAAAAAAATGGTAGTCTTTAAGATAGCTCCCACGCCCTTAGAAAGGTAAAATTAACAAGAATAAATGTTAAGGACAACAACCAAATAAGAACTAGTTTGAAAGCTGTATTTGAGTTGGATTGCTGCCATGCAAAAAAGTGGAACTATTTTAAAATTAATCATGCAAAAAGTGGAATAGTCTTGTTATCTGTTGCTTCCAAGCACAGGACTATAAGCAATTTGTTTAAATTTCAGGTGGGCAGTAGTTGAAACTTCACAATTTTAAAAAAAATGTCCTGTATTTGGATAGTTCTCAATCATTGGAGATATTTAAGCAAAAACTGGATGCTATCTTACATTCCAGAGCTTTCATTGGACAGGGTCTTGGTGTAGATCAGAGGTTCTCAAACTTTTAAAGCTGCAGAGCCCTTTTTATCATGGAGCTCCAAGAAACTTTTGGACTCAGGGGCCTCATTGCATTTTCAAATTTGACAGATAGGCCAGGCAAGTGGCAGATGGATGGAGAATGTTTGTGAGAATTGAAAAGAATGAACAAATTCCTAAGCACACTGCACATATCTTGTTTGTAGTGCAAAAAGAAAGAAAGAACAATACAATATTTGATTCTGTGATTCTATATTTAAAATGAAGAACAATTTTAACCAATATAAACTTAACAGTATTTCAGTGGAAGACTCCAGGGGCCATTCAGGCCAACCCCCTTCCACCACGCAAGAAAAGCACAGTCAAAGCACCCCAAATAGGTGGCCATCCAGCCTTTGCAATAATAGGAGGAGGGGAAGGAAGAGGAGCAACCCAGGGGCCACCCAGTTCAACCTATTCCTGCCTTGCAGTAAAAGCCCATTCAAAGCGGCAATGAGGAAACCTTGCAGGCCATGGCGGCGGCAGCTGGGAGACTTTGCAGCAGAATGCTAGTCCAGGCCTGTAATTGTGACTGGGGCAGGGAAGAAGTATCTCCAGTAGTTACCAAGAAAAGTATACTTGAGTCCACTTTTGGTCCTATATGCATATCGCTGTTGCTGCTGTTCTGTGCCTTCCAGTCATATCTGATTTATGATGACTGTAAAATGAACCTATTGTGGGGTTTTCTTGACACAATTTATGCAGAGAGAATTTACTGTTGCCTTCCTCTGAATCTGAGGGAGTTTGAGTTATCTAAGGTCACTCAGTGGGTTTCCATGGCCAAATGGGGATGTGAACCCTAACTCCCAGAGTTGTAGTCTAGTTCTCAAACCAGTACACCATGCAAGCTCTTCCTATATGCAAACAAAGCAAACAGCGGGTACAATAATTTTATCCATGTTTTCAGATGCATGAACCAGAATTTTTAGTGTTTTAAAAAGCACAGCTTGGGTTATAGATCTGAAGAATCATAGTTTGTTAGACCTGCATTAGAAATGTCTTGGAGGCTCCATGCTGGATATTGTTTATATTCCTACTGCATTTATGTAATATATTTATAAATTCTGGTTTGTTATTGATATGTTCATCACATAGCATGAAGTATCCAATTTCAGCCTCTAACATCTTAGTACTCTCTCTGCTTTCTGTGTTCTGAAAGAAAGAGTTTTGTGGAGATGATGGAATAAAGGAAATAGCTTATTAACTCTGGCACACCTAGAAGCATTGTTATACAAACAAAACATGAATTCTTGTGCTTTTAATAGGGAAGAGGATTATAGACATTAAATTGCCTTCAGCACATTCAAGAGCACCTGCCCATGTTCATTTTGTCTTTTTGAAAAATGTCCTTCAATTGTTTTTGTGCTTGGATGAAGAAAAACTGGTTTGGTCTTTCAGCGTGGTTAAATGGTAACATTCTTATTTAATGTCTGTGTGTTTTTTGCCCATTTTACCTGATCTTATTTAATAGGTAAGTATAATATGGACACAAACTAAAATCCTTGAACTTTAGGTGACAAATATGCTCAAATGGCCAAGATCAATACATTCCTAAGTAAATGGCAGGATGATGAGAAACAATTTTAAATGTAAAAATATTGTGAACATTTCCACAGATAAGTAGGATCTTAACCTCAAAATGGTGTTTCAAGTGTTGTGCAAACATAAGCCTGGTTTACTGCATAGTGTACACTCGGTAAGAAGATGCAACTAATTCTAGCACTTTGACAAATATGTCCATTATGATTGTTTGATATTTTATATACATGTACACATTACACACACGTAAAATTACTGGAAAGAAGCTAGTAAGTCTCTGTTGGGTTATAGGAATTGATGATGATGTAGGAGGAATTATTCTTATGATGATGTTTGGAGGTGTGTGTTTGCAGGCAACAACTGTTTTAGTCATTAAAGTAATGTAAAGAAATGGTTTTAGTCACTAAGGGAATGGACATGAAGAGATTGCAATATTGCAGCCCCACATTCTTTGGCTGCCATTCTTCTTTTAAGTTTGACGCCATTCATTGTACATAGTCTCCCCCATCTCCAAAGAAAACCCCTATGTATGTCTTGCATAATCTTAACAAAATCCCGCTTGGAATATCTTGTGTGCTACTCCTTTGCCAAAGAGCATGAGCTAAAATATCCAGATCCTGGTAACTATTCTGAATGTGTATTCAAAGAACCAGCACATTGGGTGAAAAAGGGAAGGTCCTCTATTTTCTCTTTGCTACTAAATACCCAGTAGCTGTCCTGTTCTCCAAGAATGACTCCCTTCTTGGAATGTGTTGACTCAGGACAATGTTGAAGGGATGAAACCTGATGTTGGGAGGTAGCTACAGTTGTCTATCAGCCAAGCCTCCCAGGTGATAAGAGACTGTAAGCTCTGGTAGAGGAGCTTTGTGGAATGCTGAAGGATAAGAGGGCATCCTATAAACATTGGCAGAGAGAGGTGTTTTATTGTTCTAGGTACAGTGACACTTCTTAATAAAACAAATATCTTCATAGGATTTTCAGCATTCAAATCTGACATGATAACATGTAAATTTAGAGGCAAACTTGCTAACATTTCGTTCATTCAGTGTATGTCTGGGTGTTAATGCTCTAAAAGATTTTGTGTGCCGGACTTAAGTGAAAATACATTTCTGTGTATAGTTTGAAAAAGCAATAAGTAATCTCTTTCAGCCAAAATCAAGAACCACAAAGAGAATATTGTTTGCTAGAGAAGCATCTTAGCACAGGCATAATCATACACTCTGAATTAATTTGTTATTTCTTTTTAGGGGATCCGTGTACTGTTTCTTCTCAGCTGGAATTGGAAGAGGCCTTTCGTTTATATGAACTAAATAAGGATTCCGAACTTCTAATACATGGTAACCTGGTGTAATAGATGATACTGTGTGTATGGGTCATTGTGTGGAGCAAAGGATGTAAATTATTATAGTGAGATCCTGAGCCCAAGAGACAGAATACACATTTCAGAGCATTCATTCATAATCATTTGAAAAAGTCCCTGAAGGACCATTGGAAGCAGCCTAAAAGGGAAAGAGATGCTTTTGACTCCTGTCCCATCAGAACAGCAAGGTAGCCCTTATGGTGAACTGCATAGCTTTGGAGAAAAGCACCGGTGACAGACAACTCCTATGTTAAGACTCTGTTTGTTCCTAGTATGAAGAAAATAATGTGTCCCTTTCCACTAGCTCATAAATACTTCATTAAAATAGGAAATGCCACTAGGTTGGCCATAAGAAAAATGGCATAATCTATCAGACTGAATCTGTAATAGATTTAACCCAGTCTGTAGGTTGCAAAATGAAGTGCAAGTTTCCCATTTCTATAGAACTTTTATTAAGCTAGATAGTTTTTAAAACAAGGAAATAAAGGATACCGGAGAGAAAAAGGTTCAAGTCCTCAAACAGCCATGAAATTCACTGCTAGTCAAGCCCTACTCTCAGTAAATGTAGCTCACAAGGTTATGATAGGGATACATTGAACTAGTTAGAAGGTAGGATATAACTGTAGTAGTTAGTTAATAAGATTATTCTTCATGGTCTCTGTAACTCCCAGAAACATGCAGCCCACCTGTCAACTGCTTTGAAAATGATAAAATATTTTAATGTACTTATAAGAAAGAATATTCCACTGGATGTCTTTGCAAATGCAAGCATCATTTTAGTATACTTAAGAGAACATTTCTATTTTGTTTTAATGTCTTTGTCAGCTAAATTTTAATAGATCTTCATATCAAAAATGGATTGGAAAGAGAAATATCATCTATATTTTGATTTTATTAGAATTGTCAATTACCTCTTTGTAGCCACTATATGATAATTCTTAGCTCAGAAATCTTTCCTGGCTGCTTAATTTATGGCCTAGTGCAGAAGATAGGTTTGTGTAGATCATATTGTATCAAAAACCTTACATTACATAAATACCTCAAATTACTATGTAACCAAGCTGTTTGATACTTTTTTCAAAACTATATCTAGAACTCTTCCATGTTGTTTCTTCTCATCTATCCTTGAAATAATATCTAATTTAGTATTATTGGTCCCCTCCCCAGTGTTTCCTTGTGTACCTGAGAGGCCTGGAATGCCCTGTCCTGGGGAAGACAGTAAGTGCAGTAACTTGAACGTTATATACACTGCAATTTAAATTGATGCTGAATTACAATTTGTATTTAAATAATGAATCTAAAAAAGATTTTTGTTTTTGTTTTGAATATCTGTGAATTTTTTCTTGACTTAATTCTACAATTAAAATTGTATGTATTGGCTTTAGGTACCATAAAATTATAAGGCACTTGTATTCAGTTAAAAAAGGTACCTGAATTTGTAGGCACTGATGTGGAATAAAACTCAAATCAACACAGTCAGAAGTTGATAAGGACTTAGTTTTGCAATTCCTGAAGTAATTTTTGCTTGGCCTTTGAGATGTTTGGTTTGCCCTTTGTGTACAGTACTAAGAAGGTATCCAATGATTGAATCAGGATATGTTAAGATAAAAACTTTATCTGCCCTATACCTGTATGGCAGTAATCTGGAATAAATATGTCCACATCTTCAGAGTGTTCACACTCTTTTCTCTCATCATTAAAACCTCTGTTTTGAAAGCTCCATGTTAATTTAACAAATACGTTGCAGGTTAAAATGGTTAGTAAAGATACAATGGGAGGGTACTTTAAAATAATAGTGTTTGCTAGCTTAAGATAATATTAAGATAATACCTGAATTAAAAGTATGTGCAGTGTTCAGGATTTAGGATTGGTGGACTACATTGTAATATACAACCTTTGATTCTCTCATGCTTTGACTTCCAGTTGTAGAAGCCTCAGCCATCATGACCAGTGATAAGGAATTATGAGACTTGTAGTCCCAAATATTCAGAGAGCCAGAGATTCCCTACCTTTGTAGTTGTTGCCTGAATGAATTGTAGCCCAAATGAAGTTTTGGAGATAAAAAAGTGGGATATTATTATTAATAATAATAACAACTCCATCTTGAGGCAAGTAGTCATTGTCTTAACACATAAATATGCCTTCACTCCAGATATTTATAGCGTGGAGTTAAAAATACTAACTCATCTTTCCAAGGTAGTCCTTAAAGCTTATGTGAAAAGGAGAGTGGGGTTGTCTATATAAAGGCAGAGTACATGCTTGAAATTTGAATACCTCTCCATTTGAGATGTTTTATCTTTTATAGTATTTGATGCACATTACTCTTTTACATTGTCAACCTTTACCAAAATAAATGTATTTGGATATGCCAGATCTGTATAATCGTGAACTCAATGATTGCTAGGAATAAAGCATTCAGCATGCAGCTCTTCTATTACATACATATTTGTTTAATTTTTCTTTAGAGTCTATATATCGTCGGGGTGCGCGACGGTGGCGAAAGCTCTATTGTGCAAATGGTCATACTTTTCAAGCCAAGAGATTTAACAGAGTAAGATTTTAACCTGACTATTCTTTCATCTGTACTTACCCTCTAATATATGTCACTTTAACTTTTATTAATGTACCTTATCCTTTTGCTTTGTTCCTTTTATTTATGTTGCGATACTGACAAATAGGTCTTTTACTTATCTACTTCCACTTCAATTAACATTTATTTACTTTTTAATGCAGTAAAACTTTGTAGAATTTGTTCTCACTGATAAGGCTTGTTTTCAACTGACTGCCTTTCAGAGATTATGCAAAAGACCTTAAAAAGCAGACAAAAACTTTATAAACGCTTATGTAGAATCAAAGAGTTGAGTACATATTAGGTAAAAATGATATCTTTAGTGGTTTGGCCATACAAGTGAGCCCCACAATAATAACAAATGAAGTTTTATGTCAAACAATGAATTGTTTGTGTTATGCTGTGGGGTGTTCACTTCAGATCCTGTGACTGCATTAAGATGAAAATATCTTGTCTTAATAAGGTGAGAAATGAACAAGGTGTTTGCTTTCTCTTTGCAGCTTAAGCAATCAAAGAAGGAACACTACAGTTTACAGTATAGTTAATTTCCTGAATTATTGGAACCAGGAAGCAGTAGTTAGCCATCTATTGGAGAATCCAAAATATTAGAACAGGATCAGACTGTTTAGAACTTATTTTTTAAAAAACCTTTAAATGGCCTCCATAAAAGTTTATGCCATAATACAGTTCTTGTTTTTAAGATACTTGTTTTTAAGGCAGCAGAATAACAGAGCAGCCCCTTTAGAAATTAAAATGATATATTTCTTATATATAATTAGGGAAGGTTGTAATGACACTGCAGAGGGACCAGTCAGTACTTTCCCCCAGTGATACATCCAATGTTCTGGATTTTCTCCAGTACTGGGCTGTCAAAGTTGGCAGATGGGTCATCTTTACCTTATGCTAAGCCGGCTTTACTAGCTGTAACCAATACAGTTGTAACTTTCCAAATTTCATACGTTCAACTGTAGTTCTTTATATTCAGAGTCATGCTCAGCTCTATCTTGCTGCTAGGGAGACAAATGATGCTTTGTAAAAAAAAAAAAAAGCCCTCACAATTTTTATTGTGTACTAAACAACTTCTGACCTTGCTGACCAAAACGTTGGCGGTTCGAATCCAGGGAGCAGGGTGAATTTCCGCTGTTAGCCCCAGCTTCTGCCAACCTAACAGTTTGAAAAGATGCAAATGTGAGTAGATCAATAGGTACCGCTTCTGTGGGAAGGTAATGACCCTCCATGCAGTCATGCTGACCACATGACCTTGGAGGTGTCTATGGACATCACCAGCTCTTTGGCCTAGAAATGGAGATGAGCACTACCTCCAGAGTTGGACACAACTAAACTTAGGGCCCTTCTACAAAGCCAGAATATCAAGGGATAAAATCCCACAATATCTGCTTTGAACTGTGTTCTGGGTCCACACCACCATATATTCCAGTTTAAAGCAGATCACGTGGGATTTAGTTCAGCTGTGTGGAAGAGGCCTAAATGTCAGGGAAAACCTTTACCTAGTAAACATTTGGATTTTTCCTTTTAGAGTATCAACAGCAAAGTGGAGAAGATGAGCTAGATGGAGCTACTTGGGTATATTACTTTTAGTATGAGATCTAGCTACTAATGCTCTCATCATTTGTCTGTCTGCTTTTCAGAGAGCTCACTGTGCCATTTGTACTGACCGAATATGGGGATTAGGACGTCAAGGATATAAATGTATCAACTGTAAACTTCTGGTTCACAAGAAGTGCCACAAACTTGTCAGCAGAGAATGTGGCCGACATGCACTACCACCAGTAAGTGATATTGAGAGCTTTAATTCTCTGAAAAGTGTCAGTGAGAATGTACCTGTATATGCATGCATAATCATATTATTACACTGTTGGAAACTCACCTGTCATTCATTTAATTAACATTTTTGCAGTCTGATTTTGTTGTTTACCTTTAAAAAAGAAGTATTCTATCATCTGTAATGTTGAATAAACTATAAGAGAAACAGAACTTTTAAATTTCACAAAAAGCTTACATTTCTAATCAGAGAACTCTTCAGTTTGATACTATTCATGCTTACCTGAAAGAAAACCTTATTAAGTTCAGTGGGGTTGACACTGTTAAATGTATGGAGAATTGCAACCTTAGTCTGCCTCTTTCTCAGTGGTTTTCAACCCGTGGGTCCCCAGGTATTTTGACCTTCAAATCCCTGAATTCCTAACAACTGGTAAACTGGCTGGGATTTCTGGGAATTATAGGCCAAAAACCTGGGCACCCACAAGTTGAGAATTATTTCTGTATCTGCTTTGAAGGTTGAATCAATGTCATGATTCCTTGTGGAAAACTGAAAAGTTGTGATCTTATTCTTTAACTTTTTGTAGGAGTCTATGGATCATTCATCAGTACATCCTGATAACATAGAACCAGGTAAAAGCAGTTCTTTATTGATATTGCAAGGATCAGATGTGAAGCTGCAGCTCATGAAAGCACGAGACTTGTTTGTCCTTACTCTGTTAGGAAATCTACACGTATATATTCGGTTTCGTCTGTTGGGAAAAATAAAAGAATTCTAATATTTGCCACTAAACGAAACAACATCAAAATATGCCTGATCCTTTTTAAATTGTAGGATTGTTTATATCCATAGTCATCAATCTTCTTCCAGTCAAAGAATCATGCCCAGTGGGCCTTCACATCTATTGCTACAGAATTATTTGGACTCCTTATATTTTTAATAATGAGTTAATTTATAGTTAGATGTTAGTGTTTAGTTATTACGATTTTTTTCTGTCCACGTGTATGTTGGCATTGAATTTTTGCCATTAGTACGTTGTAAACTGCCTTGAGTCCCCACCTGGGGTGAGAAAAGCAGCATATGAATATAGGAAATAAATAAATAATATCAAATACAGAAATATATTTGTTTTTATTTGTGTTGACATTATTTCCTTTACCACCATATTTTTGTAGCTCAGTGTAAGCGAGAAGTTAAAACGTATGCTCTTACTGCTTAAAGTAAGGAATTATTTGTGCCCTCTGTACATAGTTATACATATTGTTGGGAAGAATAGCTCACTAGGATTTGATAGAGCCATATATTCACATTTAATCTGATGTAATCTACTGTTTAGTTCTTTATAAATGTGGAAAGATAACTTCATAGCATGTCCAGGTCAAATATAACCCAATGAAATTGCTTTATTTTCCTTTAAGAGAGGAAAACAGGATATAAATAAATATAAAAATGATAATAGTAATAGTTATTTTATTCTTGCTTTCTTTACTTTAGTGATTCCATATCATCCTTCCAGTCATGAAAGCTTAGATCATGTTGGTGAAGAAAAAGAGGTATACTAACTCAATTCTGCTATGTGTTTTTCTAAGTTATTTGTGCATTTCTGGGTTTTTAAAAACCTAAACTATACCTTCAATACCTTTAGTCTCATATTTTTCTTCATAATTGTTGGTAGTAGGAAAAATTCAAAGTTCTAACCATACTTTCAAGGATGAATTACTTAAATATTTTCATCTGTCTACAGGCAACAAGTATTAGAGAAAGTGGCAAAGTATCTTCCAGTCTCGGTCTCCAAGATTTTGATCTACTTCGAGTTATAGGGAGAGGAAGTTATGCAAAAGTACTTTTGGTTCGTTTAAAGAAGACAGAGCGCATATATGCAATGAAAGTTGTGAAAAAAGAACTAGTCAATGATGATGAGGTAAGCAGCATTTATTCTAACTTATTAATTTTTGAAATTCTGTATCTATTGCTTTATTCCATGTTAGGTGTTTTTTTTTTCTGTCTGACCTGCCCTCTATATTCTTTGTGACTGGGCTCCAGCCAGCCATTATGGAGCCATTTGTCCAATTGTCCAATTCCTTCTTGTCAGGCCTTTCATGCTTTCCAGACCAGGAGGCTGGAGAGTACTAGATGCATGCAATATTACATGTACTATTACTAATAATATTACAATATAATGGTATAGTACAATATAGTAATATATAATACTAATATTGTACTATGGTAATAATGTAATACATTGTATTTACATATTACTTCTAAGTCGCTCTGAGTCCCCCTCGGGGTGAGAAGGACGGCATATAAATGTCGTAAATAAAATAAAATAAAAATGCTGTGGGGCTCCCAGCCTTTATGCCATCAGATGGGATCTGTTGCATTTACGATATTTATGCAGCTTCAATAATTAGGCACTAATCCATACACTGAGTCTTTGGGTTGCTAACCATTTTTGCTTACCAAGAGCCAAGAATGGAAGCTATTTGGCTGGTTAGCAGTTATATTTTGTAGTCAATTCAGTTCTTAAGGATCTTTGTGCACTCTTATCAAAGTATCTGTGTGAAACACTTGGAACCTCCTGGTCACAGAGACCATGGAAAAAATAAAATTTAAAAACTGCGAACCATGAATGCTGTTCAGTACTGGAATTCTCTGCCTTGGAGTGTGAAGGAAGATCCTTCTTTGAAGGATTTTAAGAAGAGACTGGATAGCTATCTTCACTTCACTTTATTTCTTTATTATATCTGTAGGGGATGCTTTGGTTATGTTTTTCCTGCATGGCAGAGAATTGAACTGGATGGTCTCTTCCAACTCTATGATGGTCATCTACACTTTCCAAACTGTGTGTTGTGACATATTTGTGTGTTGGATGAAGTGTGTCAGTTTGTTGCATGAACATAAAAAGAAACCTCTGAAATAAGCAATAAATCACATATTTTTAGTAATATAAAGAAAAGATTTCCATGAGATACGTTGTGCCCCCACACATTTCATTATTACAATTTATGTATACAGTATGTCTGTATCTCTTATATGAGAAAGTCTAACCTCTGGTTTGCTAGTAGATCTGAAATACTGTGTCATGAAATAATGATTGTCTAAAAAGTGTGTCACTAATATTAAATGTTTGGGAAGCTCCGTTATTTGGTTCCTTTTACAAATTGTTACAGTTACCAAAAAGTATGAAGAGAGTACTATTTTTACTATGTATGTTCTCTTTTAGGATATTGATTGGGTTCAGACAGAAAAACATGTTTTTGAACAGGCGTCTAATCATCCCTTCCTTGTTGGTCTTCACTCCTGTTTCCAGACCGAAAGCAGGTAATTGTGCAGTAAGAGCTTTTCTTGTTATTCTTTTGAGTCTTTCATGGCAAATTGGGCGTGAGGCTGGGGCACATTGTAAATTATAATTAGTAAAATGCAGCACAAATGTATGCATCTTCTGGAAAATATTTTAATGGTTGGTCGGTTGGTTCCTTCCTTCCTGCCCTTGAAAAGATGCTCAAGATGAAATTTAATTGAAAACATAATTTTCAGAAGAAAAGCAATACTGAAAAAGGAAATAATCTGTGAATGTGGAAGGATGGGAGCAAAGTGTTGCGAAATCAGATTTTCAAGAGTTTTGAAAAATTGAATGCTAGAATGTACATGTTATTAAATAATTGAAAGTTAAGACATGCAAGAATTATTGTTTGACTGCTTGTTTATCATTTGTCTGGCAGTAAAGTTGTTTTACCCCAATAAGAATAAAAAAGGTGGAAAATATTTAAGGAGCAGTGATTTAAATGCCATTATTTTGGTGGTCACATGTCTTTTTGAAAACAAAATTGCAAGTATGAGGGAGATGGGGTATTTGATTTTAGATTAAGAACTTGATATAACTGATGGAAATGCTCGTAGGGAAGGAAATGAAAATGATAAGCTTACTTTGAAGAATTTTCACAGGAATATATCATTTGTTTGGTTCATTTTAGTACATTACTTGCCAGCCTCCTATGTAGTGTTTCTCAACCTGAGGGTCGAAACTCCTGGAGGGGGCAGTCGCGAGAAGATGTCAGAGGGAATCACCAAAGACAATCAGAAAACACAGTATTTTTGTTGGCCCTAGGGGTACTGTGTGGGAGGTTTGGCCCAATTCTATCATTAGTGGGGTTCAGAGTGCTTTTTGATTGTAGGTGAACTATAAATTCCAGCAGCTACAACTTCCAAATGTCAAGGCCTATTTTCCCTAAACCCCCACTATTGTTCACATTTGGGCATATTGTATTGTTGTAGTCCCCTTTCTCTCCCCCCATCTGGAATAAGTGAAAACATAATGAACAGAACATGATCACATAGAGAAAGTTTGCAAGGTTGGGACCAGTAAGCACATGTGAATATTGATTGGGGTGGAGGCAGTAATTTTTGAAATTAAACAGGCAATAATAAAGTGGATCATGATAATAATTGGTTGTAACTTAAATCATTATATAATTTACTTTTATGTTTCAGGTTATTTTTTGTCATTGAATATGTAAATGGAGGGGATCTCATGTTTCATATGCAGCGCCAAAGAAAATTGCCAGAAGAACACTCTAGGTATGTTTTTCTCTAGTGTGGGTTTTATGTGCAGTAATAGCTATGGAACTGTATGCAATGACTTTTGAAATGGCCCCAGATTACGATTGTGGATGGCGTGATTTTTAATAGTGATTGTAATGTTTTCTACGTTTTTAATGTGCATTTAATTTTAATTTTAAATCTTTAACTTAATTTATTTTAACTGTTTGTTGATCAAAGGCATTGAATAGTTGCTATATGTAAAGCCACCTTGAGTCCCCTTCAGGGTAGAGAAAGATGGGATACAAATAGAGTAAATAAATAATACAATAAAATGTGCAACTGTGAGTTCACAAAGGCAAAAGATGTCTCATTAGATGGAATATGTTCAACTTGTTTCATAGACGGAATATTACCTTGCTCACATAATTAAACTGATTTTTTTCCTGTCTCTGAAAGTTAACATAACAAGAAATAGAGTAGTTTTGTTTTGGTTTTTCAAATCATCCATTTTAGAGATGTTAAAAATATGTTATAATTCATTTTTCTTACTTTTACAAGCAAAAATGTATAATTTTCCCCACTGTTCACATGATGCTCATTTAGTCATTCCTTTCCAGAATGGCTGAGAAAGAGAGATCTCTTCTATATTTGCGCATATGTTTATTTTCTAGATTCATTTCCCCTCCACCAACATTTCTAGGAATTGCCCTGCAGTTTGATATCTTTGGCATATATTTAAAAGTTCCTGTCTGAATGTATAGGGCACAAATATCCTGCTGCTGTTTCTCATATATATATTTTTGCCTGACAATACTTGGAATTCCAGACTGAAGTTTGGGGGCATCAGGTTGTTGTCATTGAATATACTCTCTTAGCCGAGTGTATGTCCAAATTTAGTTGCTTAAGTTTTTATTGAGAGAATGCATATCTGAAAAGAGAATACAGAAGCTTAACATAGGAAAGTAACATGATGAATGGTAGAAATAACTCCTGAACAAAAGGTAGAAGGACCTAGCTTCTAGACTTCGGTTTGAGGCTTGAGATGGCTAGTAAGCTTAGAAGGGGGGCAAAATTTCATTTTGGTATATGTTGCTAGTTGGTCCCATGATATTACTGAACATTTTAAATAAGATATTCAAATTTCATTCTAGGTTTTATTCTGCAGAAATCAGTTTAGCACTAAATTATCTTCATGAACGAGGAATAATTTATAGGGACCTGAAGCTGGACAATGTGCTCCTGGATTCTGAGGGACATATCAAACTGACTGACTATGGCATGTGTAAGGTGAGAGCCGAAAAACAAAAACAAGATTTATAGGCTTGGTATTCCTAACTGGATGTCTTTTTTAAAATGTGTGTGTTGGCTATATTATCATAGACTTTAGTTAATAGCTCTAAATTTGTTTTCTAGAAATAGCTCTGGCTTCTTCGTATTCTAGGTATACCAGATACATGTGCCTTGAAGGCAGGTTTGAGAAAGGACTTTTGTAAAATACTTAAGAAAAAAATAAATCAGGAAAATACTTCAAATTTTTCAAATCAAAGGAAATTGCTTCATGTGTAAACCCTCAATAGCCAAACCCATGCTGAAAAAAAACTATGGAAATAATTAGATCTTTAGTAGAGTAAGTAAATCAACAAAGGATGCTATGTTTCCCCTACACATCCGTAACTCCCTCTAGTGACGTTACTGCTAGACAGGAAGTGCTGTTTTGTACCTTCTAATTGTTTCCAACTTAGACTAAATTTAGGGTTACACTAACATGGGGTTTTCTTGCCAAGATTTGCTCAGAGTGCAGTTTATCTTTGCCATCCACTGAGGCTTGAGAGAGTATGATTTGCCCAAAATCAACCAGTGGAATTCCATGGCCAAGCTAATCTCAAACTGCTATATTATACTGGCTCTGACAAGAAAGCGATATTGCATAATAGTGGCTGAACAAACTATGGAATGTATTTAGTGGTACATTTGGAGCCAGATCTTGTCTTCTCTTTTCCTTCACAAACCAGGAAAATAACCTATGGTTTGTTGCAGGTTTACTTCTTTGGCTTCTTGGTGGTGAGGCTAGCCAGACAGGTCCTGACAGATTTGGCCACTTCTAGTAAAAGTGATCAGGCAAGTGGAGCCCAGCTTGTTGTAACAGGCAAATCCAACCAGTTTTAGTAAGTCAGATAGAGTTACTACTCATTTTAAGATGTTTTCCTCGTTCTGCCAGCTGTAATCGATTGAGCATTAAAAAAACCGTGTTTCTTATATACTGGGTGAAGCAGAACGGTGATGCTAACTATATAAGGTTTGTGCATTGCTTAAAATTGAAAATTTCTGTTCCTGGCTATCCTTTCAGTGGATAGTTTGATGCAAGAACAAGACCCTTCATGTGTCAGTATATCAGATGATACTTATGCTTTGCATCCAGCCCAGAATTAATAATCTTATGTTCCTCATCTAAACTACTCTGATATTTGTTGGAAAGCAAACTTTGCCAAGAGTATACAATCCAACAAATTCGTCACTTGCCTTGCAGACAGTTTTATTGTCCAGAAGGTAGAAAAGTCAATAAGGGAATCAGCAATTTTGGATTTGATCCTAACCAACACTGAGAACCTGGTTAATGGAGTGGAAGAGATAGGATCCTTAGGTGGAAGTGATCCTGTGCTCCTGGAGTTTGTGAAACAAAGGAAGGGTGAAACTAAGAGACGTCAAACATGCATTCTAGACTTTAGGAGAACTGACCTCAGGAAATTTAGGGAAATACTGATCATGATTCCATGGGCAGGAATATTAAAAGAAAGGGGAGTTAATGATGGATGGGAGTTTCTTGAAAGTGAGATACTGAAGGCACAATTACAAACAGTGCCAGCAAGGAGAAAAATAAGAGAAGTGTAAAGCAACAAGAATGGATGTCCAAAGAAGTTTTAACTGAGCTAAGATTTAAAAGAGACATGCACAAGAAATGGAAGTTGGAGGAAATCACCAAAGAGGAATTCAAAAAAATAACCAACATGTTTCAGGAAAATGTTTGTAAGACTAAAGAACAAAATGAGCTCAGGCTTGCCAGAGAGATTAAAACCAATAAAAGGGGGTTATTTGGTTATGTCAGTAGAAAAAGGAAGAAAAGGGAACAGTAGGGCTTCTGTGTGAATAAGGTGGTGAAATGCTAACAGTGGATATGGAAAAGGCAGAGCTGCTCAATATCTACTGTGCCTCAGTCTCTCAAAAGAAGATTGGTGTTCAACCTGAGCAGTATGGAGCAGACAAGGTAATGGGGAAATGCAGCCCAAAAAAGGTAAAGAAGTAGTCTGGGGATACCTGGCTACTCTAAATGAATTCAAGTCTCCAGGGCCAGATGAACTACATCCAAGAGTATTGAAGGAACTAGCAGAAGCCATTTCAGAACCACTGACAATAATCTTTGAGAATTCTTGGAGAACAGAAGTCCCAGCAGACTAGAGGAGGGCAAATGTTATCCTTATCTTCAAGAAGGGGAAAAAGAGGACCCAAACAATTACCATCTGGGCAGCCTGACATTAATACCCGGAAAGATTCTGGAGCACATCATTAAAGAGGCAGTCTGCAGTCATTTAGAAAAGGAATATTGTGATTACTAAAAGTCAATATGGATTTCATAAAAACAAGTCATGCCAGGCTAATCTTACCTCTTTTTTCGATAGAGTTGCAAGCGTGGTAGATGCAGGGAATGCTGTGAATGTAGCATATCTTGATTTCAGTAAGACCTTTTTGCAAACAAACTAGTCATATAATTTGTTAAAAGACCAAACTCAAGGGTGCTCACCAATGTTTTTTCTTCAACCTGGAAAGAAGTGACTAGTAGAGTGCCGCAGGGTTCGATCTGGGCCCAGTACTATTCAAAAACTTTATTAATAATTGGATGAAGGTTTAGAGGCATGCTGATCAAGTTTGCAGATGACATCAAATTAGAAGGGATGGCTAATACTCCAGAGGACAGAATCAGAATTCAAAACGACCTCAACAGATTAGAGAGCTGGGCCAAAACTAACAAAATGAATTTCAACAAGGACAAATGTAAGATACTACAGAAAAAATGAAATGAAATGATACAGAATTGGTGATGCCTGGCCTGACAGCAGTCCATGTGAGAAAGATCTTGGAGCTTTAGTGGACAACAAGTAGAAAATTAACCAACAATGTGATGCAGCAGCTTAAAAAGCCAGTGGGATTTTGGGCTGCATCAAAAGGGGTATAGTGTCTAGATCGAGGGAAGTCATAGTACCCTTCTGTTCCCCTTTGGTTAGACCTCATCTATATTGACAAGCTGGAAGGTGACCAGAGGAGGGCAACTAAAATGATGAAAGGTCCGGAGACCATGCCCTATAATGAGTCTCTTTAAAAACTGGTTATGTTTAGCTTTCAGAAAAGAAGGTTGGAAGGAGATATGATATCCATGTATAAATATGTGAAAGGGCGTTATAAGGAGGAGGCAGCAGGCTTGTTTTCTGCTGCCATGGAAACTAGGACTCAGAGCAATGGGTTCAAATTACAGGAGAGGAGATTCCATATGAACATTAGAAAGAACTTCCTGATTGTGAGAGTTGTTTAGCAGTAGAACTCTCTGTCTTGGCGTGTGGTAGAAGCTCCTTCCTTGGAGACTTTTAAATAGAGCCTTGGATGCTTTTAAACAGGGGCTGAATGGCCATCTGTCGGGGGTGCTTTGATTGTGCGACCATATGCATCAAACAAGAAAGTACATTTTAATATCAGCTGTAACAACAAAAAGCAGAATAAATCTATGAATAGTATAAGGCATGCTTCTCTCTTTCTGTCCAATTCAAAAAGGAAGGACTAAGGCCTGGAGACACAACCAGCACTTTCTGTGGCACTCCCAACTACATTGCTCCAGAGATCTTACGTGGAGAAGATTATGGTAAGTAACAGTCATTGCAATGCCGTGTTGTAAAGACAACTTGGAATTCAACTTTGTGTTACTTCTTGTCATTCTGTGTGATCTTTGATGATCCCTGAGTAGAATTATTTCTAAATTTGAAGTGATATGCTAGTGATAAACCAAGCAAAATAATTTGTGAATAAAAACGTTTAGGGCTAGCCATCACTTGTCGGTATTCAGTCCTACCAGCACAAGGGTTTAACCCATTGCACCACCTTAGTACCAGTGATTGATATTATAATATGACCCTGACTGTTTTAAATGAGTATTTTTGCTCATGTGTGTCTTTTCAAAATGCTTTTACCACTAACAGAGAACATGTCATTCTGGTTAAAGTTCACAAACTCCAAATAATCACTATGGATTCCCCTTAATGATATTCTTTAGCATTTTTATGCTACTTACAAATGCCTGGAATTGGAACGTAGTGTAAAATAGTTTATAGTGACCGATTCTTAATGTGATATCACAAGCCTACATGCCCCCGGATTGGTCGGAGTTTGCACTCAGATCTTTGTTTGATTCAGTTGAAGCAGATTTAGGAGCCTTATGCTGGGATATGTCAATACTTGGGGATCATTTGGCACTGAATTCCCACAACACTATTGCTCAGGCAAACATATACTCATATACACAGTGACTCACAAAGGGTCTCAGATGTAGGCCGAGTTTTTACAGTATCAAGTGAGATAATAAAATGTTTTTCTTCCATTGCATTCGTTTAGGTTGGAGGTGCCACATATGAAACACTTCAATACAAAAATAATAATTCCTGAAAACCAGTGTGTTTGGGAACGGGTTAGGCTTGATGAACCCTCATCACACCATCAATATATGTTAGATTTACATCTGCAAATCTTTTTCTTTGAAGGAGAAACAGCTTTAACATTGCATACATTGCTTCAACACAAATAGGCCGTAATGGTGATTTTTTTGTTCATGCAGATTAAATTTAAATCTGTGCGTTTGTGATTGTTTTAAGTACTGTTTGTCTTCACGCTATATTTGTTTAAATGCTAAATGTTTTATCATATCTAGAGGCTGATGGTATCAAATTCTGTAAGTGTTGTCCTGTCTTGTTCAAAATCATAGGGTTTAGTGTGGACTGGTGGGCTTTGGGTGTGCTGATGTTTGAAATGATGGCAGGAAGATCACCTTTTGATATTGTTGGAAGTTCCGATAATCCTGATCAAAACACAGAAGACTATCTTTTCCAAGGTAAGTAAATTTAAATTTTCACATTTTGATCATGTTCATTTGTATCAGGACTCAAGATAATTAAATAGCAGGACAGCGAGTAAATGCTGGAACATATAAAAAAAGCAAAAGTTACCTCCTGTCCTAACAAAAATATCCAATTAGATTCATGTTTGTTTGAGCAATTATTGTACAGAACTAGCCTAAGGACAGGCTTCTGTTGGGCTAATTTAATGCTGCCTTTAAGCAACAGAAAGCATCCTTGAGTCTCAATTTTTGGGGCATATGTTATGATCACATAAGCAATAAATGAGGAATATGCAGTCACTTCCTTACTTTAAATGTTTTGTAAGTTTTTTAATGGCAGCTACCTAAAGCACCCAACAAGATGCAAATTAGAACAAAAGCTTTCTAGAAGAGTGTATGTCATAGGGGCTTGCAGGAAATTTCTGAGAAAGCAATAGAAGAGTAGGATAAAAAATAAATAGATCCATTATTTACTCAGACATTTATTCTAGTATCTATGTGTCTTTAGATTTCTAAATCAAGATCTACCAAATGTGAATGCCGATTCTCATTTTTTTCTAGTTATTCTGGAGAAGCAAATCCGTATCCCACGATCCCTTTCTGTGAAGGCAGCAAGTGTTCTAAAAAGTTTTCTCAATAAGGTAAGAACCTAAGCTTCAAACTTATTTTATTTCTGTATTCTGTTTATATTTTTCTGCTTCCCGGCATGGGACCCACAGTTGGTTACAGCAGCTTGAAACAAAGTGCAATTATCTTAATTTAAAAAAAGATGAAATAAACATTTCTATTTTAAAAGTACATGATTTAAACTATTATTTATAAGTATTTTAAAACTTAATTTAAAATATTTTTTCCATGTCAGGAGCGACTTGAGAAACTGCAAATTGCTTCTGGTATGAGAGAATTGGCTGTCTGCAAGGACATTGCCCAGGGGACACCTGGATGTTTTACCATCCCATGGGAGCCTTCTCTCATGTCTCCGCATGAGAAGCTGGAGCAGACAGACAGGAGCTCACCCTGTTTCCTGGATTTGAACCACCAACCTTTTGGTTGGCAGTCCTGCTGGCACAAGGGTTTAACCCATTGCACCATAGGGGGCTCCTAATTTAAAAGATAATAGCACACATATCACTTTCAGAACACTCATTTGCCACCTGATTTAAGAATTAAATGCCTGCCTAAATAGAAAAGCATTTGTCTGATTTTGAAAAGAGAGCAGAACACCAAGTCAAAACATTTTTTTAATTCTTTTAAAATTATTGCTATTTATTTTCTAAAATGTATTGTATATTTCTCAGATATCTTCATATGTATGACATAAAAGTTTTAATAAATAAATATGAATATGGTCAAGAAGTAGAACATGGCCATATAGCCCGAAAAAACCCACAAGAACTGAGTGATTCCGGCCATGAAAGCCTTCGACAATACATTGAAATGATTAAAACTGCCATAGGGCAATATTGATTTTGGATCTAACAATAGCCAAGCAAATAGGTCTTTTATCAACAATTATTATTTATTTGGACATTTCTATGTCATGTTTATCTTCGTGAGTTCCATTAGAAAATAATACATAATACAAGTGTTTGTTCTTACACTAGTTTAGTGTGGTGGGCAACTCTGGAGGGGCCATTCCCCTCAAATCAGTTGCTCTTTGCTTGCCCCTGTTAACAAACCATAACAGTATGAAAAATAGATATATGACTAGCCCATTTACTATGTGACTCAATATCAACATCACTCTACATTAATAAAATCAATACTTTTTTTTCTCCTAAAGGATCCAAAAGAACGTTTAGGGTGCCATCCGCAAACAGGATTTGCGGACATTCAGGGACATCCATTTTTCCGTAATGTTGATTGGGATCTGGTAAGTGTACATTGTTTTAAGATTTTTGTGTAGAATGTATTTCTGTAGTCTTGCCAGGATTAGCTAGCTTTTACCATTGCAAATAAAGCTAATACTTTTGAGTTTTCCCTAGACTCCCATATTTTTATGTGTGCCACTTATGAAATAGTAAGAATGTACACAAATCTTTTGGTTCAGGAAGATGTGCTTTTAAAGAAGTGCTACTTAAGTTATCGGATGTGGTGGGCTCGTATTCCCCCCCCCCCCCAACATGTGCCAGGGACTGGCATCATATTTGTGTTGTATTATAAGTTGCAATGTCTTCAGGGCAGTCTACTTGTGACTCATTATGTTTTAATGTTTTACTCCTAGATGGAACAAAAACAAGTGGTTCCTCCATTTAAACCAAACATATCTGGAGAATTTGGTCTGGACAACTTTGACTCCCAGTTCACCAATGAACCTGTTCAACTCACTCCTGATGATGAGTAAGTCGAAGATATTTGAGTGGTATTAAATCAGGCAGTAGCTGTGGCGCCTGCTAACGTAATCTCTCTAAATAACAATATGCTAGAAGTGGAGATAAACAGCAAATGCTTTTGGCATGATGTCTTCTTAATAGGAAAACTTGGTAGAAACAAGATGCAAAGCTAAAATGGTCCTTTGTTTGATTGGTTTGAGTTCCTATGAAACCAGAAATAACTGCCACATTATGATGAGCAGTAGAACATTTGGTGGATTGCCCAGCAAGCTGTGGTTAATTTGGCTTCCAAGATTGTTTAAAAATATCCTTGGGGTGATGCTTGTGACTCCTTAGCCAGGATACTATAGGAGTTTCTTTTATACCTAAGTCAGTTTCCATTCTTCTAATCCACATTACATAGAAGCATTTCTTCATGGTCTCTGGCACACATCTTTTCTATTTGATCTAACTGGAGATAACCATAATTTGAATCTGGAGCCATGTTGCAGAAGTATCTGGCAGGAAAATGTGTCAAATCATGCAATATAGAATGGACAGGTTGTATCATTTGTTTCACTGTATTAGAGCCCTGTTATTGATAGTATTTTGGCATTTGTTGTTAGTAGCGACTTCGTTTATCCAGAATTAGCTATGTTGGTCAAGCAGCAATAAATAACAAAATCCAAAATATATATGACAGTGATATTAAGGAAAGGTAAAGGTTTTGCCTTGGCATTAAGTCTAGTTGTGTCTGACTCTGGAGGGGGTTGGTGCTCATCTCCATTTCTAAGCCGAAGAGGCAGTGTTGTCTGTAGACACCTCCAAGGTCATGTGGCCGGCATGACTACATGGAGCGCCATTACCTTCTCATCGGAGTGGTACCTATTGATCTACTCACATTGGCATGTTTTTGAACTGCTAGGTTGGCAGAAGCTGGGGCTAACAACCGGAGCTCACCCCGCTCCCTGGATTCTAACCACAAACTTTTGGTCAGCAAATTCAGCAGCTCAAGGGTTTAACCCACTGCACCACTGGGGGGGGGGGGGGGCAAACAATGATATTAAACCAACCAAAAACTCTACAAACATTATGCAAGCTTTCCAATATTATAGTTTTCTTTATCAGGAGAAAATGAATAAAAAAGGTTCTTGGCATGTGTATTTTTTGTAACTATGGCTGTGCATTTTTGTACCATTCATTTTATAATTACACTGTTCCTTTTATTTTCAGTGATATTGTGAAGAAGATCGATCAGTCTGAATTTGAAGGATTTGAATACATCAATCCCCTTCTGATGTCTGCTGAGGAGTGTGTCTGATCTCTCACATCTGAACTGTGCCACTTGTTACTGATGTTTTTTTAATGGATAAACAGTTTGCTGTTGGGATGCATTTTTAAATACATATGTGCTTTCATTATTTGCCATCTATATAAAATACTAATCTGCTATACGATGGATGCATTTCAGGAAATATAAGAAAATCCAAAACATTAAACCAATCTTGCCAAAATTAGAATAGAACACTGAGGCAACTATTTATTGGATGCCTAATGCTTTTGTCAACTAGTTTTGCTTGAAATTCAGTGCAGCTATATTGTCTTTTGAAAGGACAATGGGCCTTCTGGATCCTTGAGCTTCCAATCCACAATTTCCACTGAGCACATATTGTCACGCCCCCATCTTATTAAATGGTGGAAACATGGATGTGGAAACACTGAAGCCCAGTGTGTTCATGTTGGTGCCATTTAATAGCCTGGGCTATGATCATCCACTTTTTTTTTGTATCCACTCGGGGTCCCAGACCCAAACCCTCGTTGATACGGCAGGCCCACTGTATTCCTGATAGACTTTGGTGCGTTAAGTGAAGTTCAGCAAGCCATACATAAGCCCTAGTTTACAATTAAAGGCATAAAACAAGATTTAGGATTGAATCACTGGGTCATGCATGTCTTTCTTCCTCCTCGTTTTTGTTTCCTTACATATGATTGTCACCAGCACAGTTGAAAAAATGATCTCAAATTCTCAGGCCAGATCTGAGTGTGAACCTGAAATAATGACACTAATGTTATGTTGAAACCAATTGAAAGGTGACAGAGGAAGTGTGTGCAAGCCTGTGATACCCTCCTAGTCTAAAAATCTTGGTTAAGCATTTGATGTGGACTGGACTTAAATTGTGATCCTCCACATTACAATATTTAGGTATCAATCCTTTGCATACTTGGAAGTGAGTCTCATTGAATTTAGTGATACTTCTGAATAAACATGCATAGGATTATGCTTGCAATTTCTGAATTTCACCTTCAAGCCTGCTTTTATGGATCTCTTCAGGATAATAGCTGGGTCTTTGTTATGTCCTATGACTTGATGAAAGTAGTACAGCGTTTGCTTTAACCTTGATAGAGGCAAGGACAGCAGAGGGTTTCTTGGAAATGGGGATCATTGTTATTTTTTAAAAAGATTTTGCTATCAAGCACTGTATAGAAGACCTAACTTCAAACGTTCCATTGTTAACACATTGTTCACATCCTTACTATGTAAATTGAGTGCCTTCCTGAGCAGAAGGGGGAAGTATAGTTTGAGGTATAGTGACATGTTAAATTAAATACCTGGTGAGGGGATAAACTTATATTTAGCACAAATAGGCAGCTAATGTTCACACACAAGACCTCATGCCATCTTTTTTTTATACCGTATCTTCTGTTGAGGTGGATGAGAAATTATTTCTACAATAAATTTTAAAGGCTAGTAGTCTCATACTGCAGGTCTAAAATTGGACAGTATTACACTGCAAAAGCATCTTTAGTAATGTGGCTGGAGATGCGTGGCTACCACTTGAGATTGTGTGATGGTCCTAGACATTCAGCTGTAAGATGAATGCGAAGATTTTCATCCATTTACTATAGGGCAGAAATGAATAAAAACATCAACTGAAGATGCACATTTTAAATGTTCGCATAAGATGTAACATTTTTTATTTCTTTTGAAAAAGAACTGCTGGTTGGAGATACCAAATGTGTATTTTGCTTGTTTCTTCAAAGTGTTCTGCACAGTGTAGAAAAGATTGGTACAAAACTTTTTGTCCAAAACAAAGCACATCAGAGCTACCCTTCTATGATGTGAATGTCTGCTGTGGAGAATTTTATGGTACTCTTGTATATTATGACAAAAAAAGTTTATTGGAATAGTATGAATCTTCTTCGTTGTATTGTTTCCAAAATAAGGACATGTTGAAGAGGGGAAATTAATCTACCTTTTTTTATTTGCCTTTGTACTTGACCAATCTCCATGTCAGTTATGATGTACATTTGAAACACTAACTCTCCTGCTGTTACTAACTGATTAGTAATCTTTGAGTTCATATTCTTCAAAGATGGACAAAGATATTGAAGTGAAATAACTTAAATGCTTATCCTCGGCCCTTTAGACTGCTTTTCTAAAGTGAAATGAGACTCCAAACAGTGGTTTCATTTCCCTAATATGCATGGTACAAAACAGCATTGTTAGAGGTACATTTTCTAAATCTCACAGCTGTAAGTGAATGGCATTCTGAATTTAAGATTTCCCTTCTTCCAAGCACAAAAACAATGAATGTACAGATATTACAATTATGTTCCTGGTCCCTGCCCTGTATATGTGTGTTATATATATTTCATGTGGTGGTGTCACCTTTAACATAGATTTCAGTGAGAAATTTAAAGCAGATGGCAAATTTTTGTGTTCTTTTCCATATTTGTTTCAGAGAAGTGCCATATAATTCATTTTAGAACATTTTGTTAAATGTGTAAAGGCTGTTTTAAAATATGGAACAGAGAATTCCGACATGGATAGCTAAAACAGCATGATGAGAAATATTTTTTTTCATATAAATAATGGACTAATGGGTACTGTTATCTGTATCTTGTAAGGTGTGTTTCCTTCATTTTGCAGTCTTGAGTATTAAATTGTATCGTCATCTCTTGTATTGCTAAACACTTTTTAAACTGTCCATTTTACGTTTTAAAATAAAACAGGGCTTTTTGTTTAAATCTCATGTTGTGCTTACTACTTTATATTTTTTGTCTAAGTATTAAGGAAGTGGTCTGTAAACACTTAGAAACGAATAGTAATAGTCAACATGGATTTATCAAAAACAAGTCATGCCAGACTAATCTGATACTTTTTTCGATACAGTTACAAGCTGGGTAGATGAAGTGGATACCATGGATGTAGCGTATCTGGATTTCAGTAAGGCCTTTGACAAGGTCCCCCATGACCACCTAGCAAACACACTAGTCAGATGTGGACTAGGCAAAACTACGGTTAGGTGGATCCGTAATTGGTTAAGTGAACAAGCCCAATGAGCACTCACCAATGCTTCCTCTTCATCCTGGAAAGAAGTGACGAGTGGAGTGTCGCAGGGTTCCATCCTGGTCATTTTCAACATCTTTTTTATTGACTTAGATGAAGGGTTAGAAGGCATGATCATCCAGTTTGCAGACAACACCAAATTAGAAAGGTTAGCTAATACCCCAGAAGAGAGGAGCAGAATTCAAAACTATCTTAACATATTAGAGATGTGCCAAAACTAACAAAATGAAGTTTAACAGGGACAAATGCAAGATACTCCAATTCTTTGCCAACACTGGAAGCATATAGACTATTTGACCAATTAACACAGAATGGACTGTCTCTGAAGACAAATTTCAAAATCCCAATCCATCTTCTAAAGAGAAGATAGTCAATAGTATTTCACAAGAGGCATCATGTGTATCTCATTTCCTCTTCACAGCTTTCAGACTTTTTGAAAACAAAATATCTGTGCTGTTTGCCATCTTATCAGTATAAGACTGGTGGAAGTGAATCACTCCATTGTACCCAAACCAAACTTGTGTTGTACTTAACAGATTACTTCCCACTTAACAGATAAATTGGTAATGAAGGAGGGTCCTATTTGGAAACACATTGTTGGCAAAAAATTATGTTGCTTAGACAGCAATATATTTATGTGGGTGGTGAATTGTGTTTCTTGTACAGTATCACATAATTCCATGTCTCCTAATTGCAAGGGGACAATACAAATTTATATTCATCCTGAACACAATGTGTTTCCTTCATTTTGCTGGGTACTTAATGTCTGGACACTTGAGATCCCGTTCTCTTGTCTTTTCTTGATATCTCTGCTATCTTTGTATATATGTAATTTAAAACCCGTGAAAGATAGGATGAATAGAGCACTGACCTTTGTACCTAATATCAGAAACTATGACACACAGGGCTAAATCCAACATTCTTCTAGCATTCCTGGAGAGGCAACAGAAAGATACTCAATGCAAATAACTAATTCAGAACTCCAGCAATGGTTCCCTGTGACATTGGTCCTAAAAAGCATGAGAAAAATTAGATTAATGATAAGAGTGAACTGTGTGAATAAATGTGATAGCAACCTTATGTGAATGAGAGAAAAATAAGAGATCACTGCCTACATACAGGAGCAGATTGTATGGGATGGGACAGGTTTGTTCCCTGTCCAAAGTCAACAGTTACAGCCTTTTTGCTCCAAAGACCCTATTCGCTTTGATTTGGAGTTGTATATTGTGGTATGTTGCACTGTGATTGAGTCTATTTTAATGCTACTCACCCCATCCTCTGCTGCATATCTGAACAAACAGACCTTCACTTCCACCTAGATTAAATTCCTCGAGGGCTAGCTGTGATTAGTTTGTAGCAATAAGAATTGTCTTATGAAAACAAGTAAGATAATTATTATAAAATAAGCAGCCATGGTTTGGAATCAGCTGTTCATTAGTTTGTTCAAATTAGTACACTAGAACTGGAGATTATTAGTCTTAGTTTATCTTGAGTGTTCCTTTAATAATAACTAATATTAATGGGGGGGAACTGCAGTAGTATGCTTCAAGACAAACTGTCCATATTGGTTGTAGTGACTATGCAATTTGCTTAGTATTTTGTAGAAGTTTTCATGGAACTGTAGGAGAAATTGCATAGTTTTTTAAATAGTGTGAACCTTCTTAAATGTTTCACTGATTGACAATATTTGAGCCAAAACTAACAAAATGAAGTTCAGCGGTGACAAATGCAAGATATTTCACTTAGGCAGAAAAAATGAAATGCAAAGATACAGAATGGGGGACGCCTGGCTGAAGAGCAGTACATGTGAAAAAGATCTTGGAGTCCTCGTGGACAACAACTTGAACTTGATGCAGCAGCGAAAAAAGCCAATGGGATTTTGGATTGCATCAAAAGGAGTATAGTGTCTAAACTGAGGGAAGTCATGGTACGTACCTCTCTATTCTGCTTTGGTTAGACCTCATCCGAGATACTGACTAGCTAGAAGGTGCATAAATAGGAGTATAGTGTCTAGATCCAGGAAAGTCATGCTACCCCTCTATTCTGCCTTGGTCAGACCACACCTGGAATACTGTGTCCAATTCTGGGCACCGCGATTGAAGGGAAATGTTGACAATCTGGATTGTGTCCAGAGTAGGGCGACTAAAATGATCAAGGTTTTTAAGAACAAGCCCTATGTGGAGTAGCTTAAAGAGCTGTGCATGTTTAGCCTGAAGAAGAAAAGGCTGAGATGGGACATGTTGGCCATGTATAAATATGTGAAGGAAAGTCGGGGAGAGGGAGCAAGCTTGTTTTCTGCTGCCCTGGAGACTAGGACACAGAACGGTTTCAAACTACAGGAAAGGAGATTCTGCCTGAACATTAGGAAGAACTCCCTGACTATGAGAGCTGTTCAGCAGTGGAACTCTCTGCCCTGGAGTGTGGTGGAGGCTCCTTGCTTGGAGGTTTTTAAACAGGCTGGATGGCCATCTGTCAGGGGTGCTTTGAACGTGATTTTCCTGCTTCTTGGCAGGGGGTTAAACTGGGTGGCCCACAAGGTCTTTTCCAAATCTATGATTCTGTGATTTTATGATTTTGCCTGAATATAGGAGAAGATCACGGAGCATGGCTGGGATTGATCAAAGATCACATACTTTAGCTGTGTTCTCAGACAATTCACATTTCTACGACCAAAACTGTACAATAGAAAAGGCTACCGTAATTTTAATATACTTTACTCTGAAGGAATGTCATACATTCCTTGCTCTTATTATAATAATGCATTATAAGCATACCTTTATTGCTTTCTTTAAAAATCAACGCAAAAATGGCTCCTGGTCTCACACAAATTATCTCCTCAAAACAACATTTAATAAGAACAAAGAAATGTGACTCATTTTATTTTTTAAAATAATGTCTCTACTAGCTATTACACTACTCAAAAGTAACAGTAGATGTAAAAAAAAACCATGCAACAGGTCTTACCATTTAAAGTAGGGGTTCTATTATTCAAATATGATGGACTCTGCATCAAACTGTTATATGAGTATTTGTCCATGCCTGGGCTGGATAAATCCTATACCTTATCTCCCCTCAATGTTTGTCTTTGGGTCCTTCGTCCCTCCTGACTCACCAATGGGCTTTTCTAGCACAAAAAAAAATGTGTACAGCACTGCCTCCATATCTGTGGACGATACATTCCTGAACTTACTGTGGAAACAGGGAACCGTGAATAGTAGAGAACCCTATTGAAATGAACGACTGCCAATGGAAATCACCATAGATCAGTGGTTCTCAACCTGTGGGTCCCCAGATGTCTTGGCCTTCAACTCCCAGAAACCCAACAGCTGGTAAACTGGCTGGGATTTCTGGGAGTTGTAGGCCAACACGTGGCAACCCACAGGTTAAGAACCACTGTCATAGATGTTAAATGGAGGACTTTGAAAACTTCTAGGAAGGACACATTTTGTTGGATGTGAGAAGATAAAACCACTGCTACTTCTCCTATGGGTATTACTGTATTGCCTCTCCTAGACACAGCAATTCACATTTTCAGTGAGTTGCATCCCACTTCTGCACTTTTGAATTTCAAAACAGCAACAGTAACTTTTTTTTCCAAAACAAATAGCCTTCAGTCACATGGGTTTTCTGACATTCTTGACAAGCAGAAATCTAGACCTATCATAGTTGTCCAACTGTAATCTATATGATCCAATTTTGAGGAAAGATTTTAGTTTCTGAAAGTTGAAATAAGTTCTTAGTGGAGGGAACAAGACTTGGGCATCTTCCTTGGCATTTTAAAAGCGTTGTACTTGTGTTAACATTTTTGGCTCACTCTCAGTATGTGTTCCCTATAGAAAGCATTAATTTCAGAGTTCAAGCATATGGTTCAACTTAATATCTAAATGAGAGATGCAGGGTTCAATTTATCTTTCAGCATATGCTTAAAGACAGAATGCATGTCTAAGAGTATCTATGAACATATGTTTAAAGACAGAATTTATCTTTAAGCTTATCCCAGGAAGCTATGTCCCTGCTCCCCCACGTGGAAGCACTCCCTCATCCCCCCCCCCCTTTTTAAGTTGCTTCTCAGAGGGGAGATTATGGCATTCCACAGATACAAAAAGACATTCAAGATGCTGATGTAAAACCAATCAACTCAATTATTAGTTGCCATTACCAGGAAAAACTGTTACTCTTTAGAGGCCTAGAAATAGAATTGAATAGATTAGATCAGGTATGGGCAAACCCAGGGCCGGGGGCCGGATGCGGCCCCTTGGACTCTTTTCAGGTCCTCCTCTCTCACACCATCATATCCTTCCTTCCTTCCTTCCTTCCTTMCTTCCTTCCTTCCTTCCTTCCTTCCTTCCTTCCTTATCTCTTTCCTTCCTCCTTCCCTCCCTCCTTATCTTTCCCATCCACAATTTCATCTTTCTTCCTCTTTCCTTCCTCCTTCTCTCCCTCCCTTACTTCCCTTTTTCTTCCTCCCTCCTTCCTTCCCTTCCACCCTTTCATCCTTCCTTCTCTCTTCCTTTTCTCCTTCCTTCCATCCATCCATCCATCCATCCATTCTTCCCTCCCACCCTTTTGTCCTTCATTCTCTCTTTCCCCCCTCTCCCTTTTTCTCCTTCCTTCCCTTCCCTTCCTTCCTTCCTTCCTTCCTTCCTTCCTTCCTTCCTTCCTTCCTTCCTTCCTTCCT